TCACGAACTTTAAATCGTGGCAAAAATCCTCGTTTCAATTCTCAATAACTCGTCAACAGAAAAAGATAAAAGGTGGATCTCGTGAAGTATAATATTCTTTTTGGGTTCATTTATTTCACGAAAAGTTTATTATCAAAAATCATTTTCTCCTTTTTCAGATGTTTGAATTACTTAAGAAAATAAGTCAACAGAATATCTTTTCATAATTAATAGAAAAAATATATATACTTAAATTCAAGAACATGATTTTCTCAATTTAAGAGTTAGAAATCATTTTTCATAATACGATAAGAACCCGGCGTTCGTGCATCGAAACCATTGATGCCTGTGCCCAAGTCCTTGGTGGCTTGGCCTAGATCCACAGAGGTTGGACCTGGCCCTAAGACTTTAGTCTTGAGTCGGGGTCCCTTGCGACCATGCCTAGGTACCCAACTTCTGCGCCTAAATCACTAGCGCTCGGGTTCGGTTCCTCATTGATCAAGCTAGGGTCCCGAACACTAGGGCTTAGGGACCGCGACGACTAGGCCTAACTCCCCCAAGGCAAGGGCTTAGTCCTTGACGACCGAGTCGGGCTCCTTAGCATCCGGGTCCATTACATGGTGCCTGTTGACACCTCGATTTCAAAAATTAAAAAATTAAATAAATAAACAAGTAAAACAACTCTTGTTCTACCCAGCCCGATTGGGCCTAATATGTGCATTCGGCCCACTGCGCGTTTGGCCTACCTTTCTTTCCTTGCTTGGGCCGAATTCGGCCCACTGTTGTTCGTAGCTTCGGACGCAGGAGCCATAGTTGTTCATCGTTTTTTCGCCGTGCCGGAAGAAGCCTAGTTCCGTTGCGGTCCTGTTCGTAGACGATCATGAAGACTTCGCGCTGCTTCCAAACCAGGTAAGACTTCTTTCTCGTATATGTACTGTTTTGGCCGAGAGAAGTTGATTCGATTGTCGAGTTTGTGTGAAAATCCGTTGGAATAAGGCATATTTTTTTGTAGAATAACATGATTTAGGCATCTGTACGTCACTTCTTGATTGAGAATCATATCGGAATCAAATCGGGATCTCGTTTTTCAGATCGCATATTAACCGTTTGACGAAATGTCTAGAAGAGGCACCGAATCTGTTTTCTTTTTTGTAAAATCATTACTTTGGAACCTCGATTCGTTCTAGTACTGATCCTGACATCAAGTTATCTCTTGTTTTTCTTTGATTTTGATGGCATGTGCACCGTTTGTTCGAGTCGGCCATTAATGGAACCTTCGACGGAGATTCATCTCCCTTTCGCCGGAGTGTTGCCCGCGGTTGGAGGCCGCTCCAGTCGGTCCATTTCTCGTTCTTTGATATGTATATACGTATTCTGTGTGCTAGAATTGATAAGAGTTTTAGTATACACGATTTTCGAGTTCGAGAATCTCTCGCCGGAGTTGGCCCGGCAACGTAGAAATCGTCGGCCAACTAGTGACCTGGGATGATTCGCCGGCGGTGACTTAGCGTCGGAGAATAGATTGGCGGTGGTCGGAGCGTTGGTATGAGATTTTTTGGTGAAGCTCAGTCGGAGAAGTTTCAGTGAGAAAGAAGACCATCGGGGAAGAAGACCAGAGAGAAAGGGAGGGGAAAATAAAGAAAAAGAAAAAGAAAACAATAAAAAAGAAATAAAAGGGGGTATAATAAATACAACCGGGTTGGAGTCGGAATTGGGTTGAGAGCTGGGTCGGATCGGAAGCACCATGGGCTGGAAGTGTGATTTGGGTTGGGCCGAGCATGTGGATTTATTTGTTGAAATGGCCCAAACCAATCAGACTAAGGCGAATTGGACCTTATGGCTGGCCCGACTTGATCCCAACTCGGACCTTCAGGGTCCGTGTCAGACTAGCAAATCAGACGGGTTTCCCCTGACCCCGTCCGAAATCCATTTTTCCAAAAATTTAAAAAAAAAAATTCAGAAAATTCAGAAAAATAAAAAATGTGAAAAAAGCTAAAAAGATGTAGAATTCTCTTACTTTGGGGCTTTTAATAAACACTTTTGGCTTGAACAAAAAATTGAACCCAAAATTAAATAAGCCTTTAGGGCTTTACTTTAGGGATTTTTTATTGTTTTTTTTTAAGAGACAATGCTAGGTCGCTGTTTGTCACTTTCATTTTGATTTCATTTGATTGCGCGCTTTAAATTCATTGATTGTTGTTTTCCCCTTTTAGAATAGTTAGGATGAAAATTCAAAATTCTTGATTAGTAAAAGACTGCCGTGACATTTTGGTTAGCAAATAGTCGAGTTTAGGTACCGAAAGGGCATTAGTTGAAATCCTAGTGTAATCAAGTACCCGATCCCTAAGAATCTCTGGTTGTGTATGTTTTCGAGATAACACTCCCGTATCTCGATTATGGTTTCTAGCCGACCATTAATCATGGCTAGTGGCGACTCCTATCGAACAAATAGATTTAAACAACTAATGTCACCCGAGGTATGAACTTAGGCAGAGTTCAATAAAAATACCTCTAAACCTACTTCCCCGAGGCGGCTAACGAGGGATTTAGGTCATGATAGTGCTCGAGCCCGAGTCCCTAAGGCAGACCCCACGGCCTCGATGCTTGTGCTCAGGTCTAAGGCAATCGTGTTCAAATCCTCAGGAACCCAACCACCAAACCTGAGTCCCGAGTGACATCTACACTCATGAGGTTTTCGATTGGTTTCAATTGAGGTATCGGGGGCATCTAGATAACCTCCAGCGAGAGATGAAGTTGGAACAACTTCTATTTATGAAGTCGAAGGTTTCGAGAAATGCAAACACTTCACGGTCAAATGGATGCGAAAAACAAGAAATCACCTGCTTATGTCGCTCTTTCGACTGGGTTCCTTTGTTGTCATTCATTATGTGTGCTCCAACATGTTTATATTTTTCAAGTCCTCCCTCGTTATATTCTTAATAGGGGGACAAGATATGCACAATGTGGTAGCGGGATTGTCCAAAAAGTCATTAACCTATTGCATTTTTGTCAATTCAGTTCTAAACTTTTCAATTTTGCCAATTGAGTTCTAAATATTTTCACTTCTTATCAATTGAGTCCATCCAGCCAATTTTAGCAGGAAATCGCTAATGTGAACACCGGCCGACCTACGTGGTGCTGACATGGATAATTTTTAATAATATTCTAATATTCTAATATTTTTTGAATTTTTTCTTTTTCTTTTTTTTTTCCTCCCCTTCTTCCTCCTCCAGCCAGTCGCTGAGCGTCGACAATCAACTTGAGGGAAGGGCTGGCGAGGTTGATCTTGCCAGCCTCGCCAGATTCGGCGAGGTCGAGCCTTGCCTAGCCATGGCGAGGCTCACCCTCCCTAGCAACTATGAGGCTTGACCTTGACGTGGCTAGGTGAGGTTGCTGACCCTACCCTATGGTCGGTTGCCGACGCCCGGTGATCGGTTGGAGGAGAAAGAAAAAGAGCAAAAAAAAAGAAAAAAAAGGAAAAAATAGAAAATAAAAAATTTGAAAAATATTAAAATATTATTAAAAATTGTCAATATCAATGCTAAGTAGGTCAACCGACGTCCACGTCAGCAAAGGTTTGCTCTTCACGATATACACACTAGTGCCGACTTAGCTAAATGATGGATGGCAAATGATAATTACCTTGTCGGGGAACGTAATAAGATTGGCTTTAAGAAAGTTTTGAAAAGTCAAAATTCAAACTGTTTTGCTTTATATGGAAAGAAATGGAGAACGTGAGCTCTTATTTAAGTGCAAACATCAGCACATATGATAAAATTCAAGTTCCTTTTGACACGTTTGAAAGTCGAACAAAGCCAAAGAAACGACATAGATTCATCATCGGAAAGCCCTCCGCCACAAAAGTCTAGAGGATCACAACTTTATTACACATGCCAAAATTGAACTTGAGACAGCTTGAGTACATAGATTTTTATTTCCTAAACTTCAAAACGTGGCAATTCATTAACTTGTCAACGGAAAAAGGAAAAAAAAATCAGATAAAAGGTGGATCTTGTCTAGCATAACATTCCTCAGCTTCGATTCATTTTCCTCTTTTTCTTTCACGTACTTATGAAGTATTTGCATGTTAGAAGAAAGATTTGACAAGAAAAAGGACAATTTGACTTAATTGAATCAACTGATCCCTTTTAGTTTTTTTAACTCAAAATCCCGTTAAAAAATCGACAGTTTTATTATCGATAAAAATCCCGCTAATAATCACTGACCTTCTTCATTCCTTAATCAGAACATCATTTGGCGAAATTATATGTATCGGTAATCCGCTAATAAATTTTTTTCCAAAATGATGCTCGTGGCATTTGTAGATGACTCGAATGACCCTTTTAGTTCATTTAAAGGGAAAAGGAAGAAAGAATATCGATCTCCCAAAAGCGAAAATCATTAACAGAACTCCGAGCCCCTCTTGTGGAAAACTGTTTGATTTTGTGTTTTTAAGTCCGAAATTTTCAGGTCATAATTAATTTTGACAGCTCAGATACATTTCATATCCAAAATTCAGTTAATACAACTCGGTCCACAGTCGGTATATCCCGCTGCATCGCCTTCTAAATTTGACATAAAAATCACGTCGGATATTTATGTTCTATCCACCAAAGATCGGGAATCTGCTTGAGAAGGGGCTCGTATTGGTGAGGCAACAATATATCAAGACGAACCGTGAATATCAATATTAATTTGTAGGGTCACAACACGTATTCTGACGACATAATGACCGAGAACAATTTGTAGAAATATCGTGGACCGCGGTCCCTTACAATCATTAATCTTTTCGAAGGTACGGTTGTTCAAAGTAATAAAAAGAAAATGCACGGGTACATATGCCAAGGCTTTGACCAAGAAAGCAAAATGCATAATGGACAAACCACAAAAACAAAAAATTAAAATAAAAAATGGAATAATAATAATGGCCAATTAGAAATTTTGGAAGTTTGAACTGTACCTCCATCCCGCTCTCTCACGCTCCCCGCCCCCCTCCCTCCACCCTTCGCCCCCCACTTATATCAACGCACAGTCACACTCTCTCTCCTTCACTCTCCTTCACTCCCTCCCCTCCCCACTTTCTCTCTCCTCCCGACGGAGCTTTCTCTCTCTACGCCTCCCTCCCTCCGGGCCTCCTCCGGAGGGGGTCGCGGAGCTCCAACCACGGCAGCGTAAGCTCTCTCTCTCTCTCTCTCTCTCTCTCTCTCTCTCTCTCTAGGGCGTGAATGATTTGGTCGGGTATGCAATGGCTACAATCTGTTCCGGCCACCGGAAAACGCTCTGTTCCGGGGGATTTGTTCAACGGACGGCGGTGCACAGATTCTTGAGAATCCCACGATCTTGTCTGGAGATGCAGCTCGTGGATCTGTGTTCGGAATGTCGTACGATGTCTGCCTCATCTTTTTTTTCCTTTTCTGGGTGGAAGCTGGAATTTTGTGGAAGTTTGAGCTCATTCTGGAGTTCCGGGCTAGGTTTTTCCCGCACGTCGTCTGTTTCAAAAGGCATTTCTAGCTCAACACTAAGCTCTGCTTTTGATTGCGGCCGTGTTGGGTTGATCCAAATTTTGAATTTCAAATGAGTGACGGTGTAGGTCTTGTCCGTTCTGTGATGAATGTTGCATTTGCGTTCTCTGCGAACTGTCACTCAGCAGCATGTACTGGGATCCTCTACAGCACTTGCGAGCTGTAAAGCTGATTTTGGTTGCTGATGTTGTACACAAAGCAAACCTTGCGAAAGCAAAGTACAAGTTTCCTCCTTTTTCCCCCCTTCCAGATTTTGGGTGGTCAAGATTTGGAAGGTAGAAAGTTATTTCAATACCAAGTTCAGGAATCATATTGAGTTTGTCCGGATGCTCATGTTGATTCATGATGGCTGCTCTTTTATTCTTGAGTTCTTTCAAAATGAAGCTTGATTCATCACAGTTTGAGGGCAATCCTTATGCAGATGGAAGGATGCTCAAGCTTCATTTTGACCTGGAGGTCAGGTCCAAGTTAGGGCACATTTTTGGTGCAGGGGAGGGTACAATGATTAATCCTTCCAAGCACCATAAGGCTGATAGCCTTGCGGAAAAGGATGTCTCTGTGATGATTTAAATTTCAGGACTAAATAGACATAAATTTTCCTTTTCGTTTTGTCAGGTGACTTGGTCTTTACACTTGGCTTTTCAAATTTCATATTGAGCATTTGCAGAATGCTCATTCGTCATTGCTCGTGATACAAGGTAATTTCCTCAACATGTTAATTTTTTCCAGTAAATGAATTGTTCTAGTTTTTTATCGCCGAGATGTATGAGTTTAATATGTATTGTTTTGAATATGACGATCTGGGTAAGTGTAACTACCTAGCCCAAGCGCAAGCCCAAGCCCAAGAATGGAATAAAACAGAGAAACATGAAAGTGGTTTTGAGCTGCTGCTTTGCTTTTGCGGTGTATGATAAGCTTTCCTGAACCTACTCTAAAGCAAATTGTTAATTTAGCGCAGTATTTATCGAGCTTCAGTTCCTGTAAAGGCATTGGTAGCCATTAATCCATTAATTTTACCTTGAAAATAGTGGATTAGAAACTTAGAACTGCCATAGGGTGTTGTGTCCAGACATTTTCAGAAGTTGAGAATGACTAGATGAGGTGTTCTCACTTGTTCAGTTCTTGTGAGGTAATATGGCCCATGACCTTTGGGTTGGTATAGCCTTATTGCCTAAAGGGACAGGGAACTAGTTTTGATGGCATGAGAGACTATTCTCTTCATTGAAATTCAAGAATAACATGATGCCTATGGTTGACCTTGCTTGTGTAAATGCCTGTATCTTCCACAAATTCAAACTATAATTGTCTGCTCCAATTCATCTTTTAGTTCCAGTCATCTAACGTCAAATTTTATCTTCAGGATAGTGGGTGCAATGAGGAGCCATTTAATTTGATGACACGTATTCCCACAGGGATGAATGCAAATATGAACAAAGAAAATGCAGTCAGAACAAAAAACGAAGCACCCACTACCCGAATTACCCGATCAAGGGCTAAAGCATTGGGCATGTCAACGGGGATGCTCTCATCCTCAAGGCCCTCTTTTAAACAGGAACAAAAACATGCTGTCCGTGCAAATGCCAATAGATCAGCATCAGATGAGAAAAAAGGAACTAAGGTTGGAAATGCGGGCAAGCAGCGCAAAAAGAGAGCAGTACTCAAAGATGTCACCAACATCTTTTGTGAGAATTCATACTTGAACTGTGTCAATGCTACCAAAGCTCAGGTTAGTGCAAGGCATTCTTCTCAACTGACTCCATTCTTCATTTGGGGAGGCTGTATTTGTCATGAGGTAGTGGCTGGTTATCTGTTCATATTCCCAGCAATTCAGAGAAGCGGAGCATTTTACAATATACGTTGTCCATTCTTCAAACAGCTGTCTGCTTTGAGTTGATTCCATGGCTCATTTTATGTCCAGCATTTACACTTTCAGCTAGCTATATGTTCCAAGTCTGGTGACTCTTGTTGCTTATTGGCAGACCAGCAAGCAGGGTAGAAAGCGGTCTCTGAAGAAGGACACAGATGTGCATCAAAGTGGAGCTGTCCAAATAATTCAGGAGGATGTCAAAGCGGAATTTGTAGAAGAGTTGTCCAAAATAAAAGTGGCAGATTCTATAGAAATCACTATCCCAGACAAATGGGCAAAACGAGACAATTCAGAGCATAGTATCTCTGTATGGGATGCGGTAGCAGAGTCTTCAAGAAAGCCACGAGATGAATGTCTTAGAACTTATGATGAAGGTTATTTCTTGTTCCCAGAAAGCTAAAAGAATTATTTGTTTGATGACAAGATTTTTCGTGATTTTAATAATGAAGTATAACTTATCTAGTCTAATTCAATTTGCTGGATATACAGAATATAGAAATGGTGAGAAGTCAGCAGCCCAAGTTCATCCAAGTATCGTAGATATAGATTCAAAACGCGCGGATCCTCAAGCTTGCACCCCATATGCACTGGATATATACAACTATAAACGCATAACAGAGGTTTGTATTGATATCGTTCAATCTCTTGAGCTGGCTATTACTGAACTGATGCTAATTGTGTAGTTTATGCCAATACAAGACCTATCTCTTTTATATGTTTTTATCCAAATGGCCGCTGACTCCCTCTATCCGTCTTTTTAAAAGTAATCTCATCTCCAATATCCATGCTGTTTTACTTCATGCTTAGAGTGAAGTTAGTATTAGTGAGTTACTGAAATGAATAAAACTTTAAAGGGGAGGAGCAAATCAAGGGAAGTATGTTTCACTTTCACCACGACATCTGAATTTTGAACGGAGACTAAATGGAATTCTAGGATATAAAGATTATCAAATTGCAGCAGTATATATCCATCAGCAACCTATTGATGGCTGTATCAATCTCATCTGCACCTTTTTGCAGCTTGAACGAAGACCTTCAACTATATATATGGAAACCCTGCAGGAAGATATCACTCCAAACATGCGTGGAATTCTAATTGACTGGCTTGTTGAGGTTTGTGTAGTTAGCAATGAGACTACCTGTCATAGATCATCATTGTAGTATTTGGTTTAGTCTATGTTCTTTTTGATTTGTCATCTTTGATTGAGTTTGCCAACTCTACCATTCTTTTGTTTTCTAGGTTTCTGAAGAATATAAACTAGTTCCCGATACTCTTTACCTCACTGTGAATCTTATAGACCGGTTTCTCTCACAAAACTTTGTTGAGAAGCAAAGACTCCAATTGCTTGGTGTTACTTGCATGCTAATTGCCTCGTAAGTTCTACATTTGGCTGCAGTCACTGTGAATTGTGAACTTTGGGTTTCCTTCTTCATACCTAATATGAAATAACTTTAATCTTCCTATGCTTTTGGGCATCTTGAAGGAAGTACGAGGAAATTTGTCCACCAAGAGTGGAAGAGTTTTGCTTTATCACGGACAATACCTATACAAGACCAGAGGTAAGGTGCTCTTTTTGCCACTTCATTCTTATCTATCTCTATCCTCAGCACTCACATCACCTCCATGGTCCCTATCACTAATAAATAAGTTGACTTGTACTTAATACAGCAATTGTCCTTTGACTAGTATATTCTTCCTTCCAAAATGATTAAAGCATTAGTATGCTAAGAAGTGAGAATTGCAGTAGATTGAGAGCTAACCAAAAATCTTTGTCACGGTCATAGGATGGTCACTCTTACCAGACATTACAATCCCTTGTAAATTGAAAGGAAAGTTTTTTCTGGAAAAAATAAAGGACAATTTTCAAATTTGCCTTTTTTTTTGTCCATTATCCATATTTTTATTATCTTATCCTGTAATGTAGAAAAATGTGTCAAGATGATCCTGTGTAATTTCAACTCAAACTTGTGGTTTTAACTTAGTTGAGCATGAGAATGGAACAATAAGAAGTATTGTCATCGAAATATGCTTATAGAAGTGTTCTGCTTGTTTTAATCACCTTAATTGAGGATATGCAACTCAAGTATTGAGGCATATTAAATAATGGTTCCTGTAGTGCTTGTACTGGAAGTTAGATAACTCAAGCTCTTAAAATGATTCGATAAGTAAAACCTCTCTCTTGATAAACCTTGCAATAGTATTATGCAAAGAGTAGTTTCAAGGATAATCCAAAACAAATTCCAGCTCCAAGTTTTGTAGAATATCATAGAAAAGAAAACCATAACAACTGCATAGGAGAACATTTGTGTAAGAACTGATTCAGAACTTCTCGTTTCTTGTAATTAATGCTTTAAAATATTTGACAGAAGTTATATGGCAGGTATTGAAAATGGAGAGTCAAGTTCTAAATCTTCTGCATTTTCAGTTGTCTGTTCCCACCATAAAAACATTTCTAAGGTAGTACTCTCATTTAACGGTGGATTGCCAGCTCGCATGTTGTTTGCATTATTTGATGACATGAGTTTTATGCTCCCTTTCCTTTTTTCTCCAGGAGATTTGTTCAAGCTGCCCAAGTATCGAGTGAGGTATTTGTTCCTGGATTGAGGTTTATAGTTAGTCAATGTGTAAAAAGCTAAATCTCAATTAATGTTGCAGGTCCCTTCCATTGAACTAGAATATTTGTCAAATTATTTGGCGGAGGTAACGCTTGTTGAGTATAGCTTCTTAAAGTTTCTGCCTTCCCTTACGGCTGCATCTGCTGTACTTCTTGCCAGATGGACACTCAATCAAGCTGACAACCCTTGGGTATGCAATTTCTTGACTATCCATACATCTCTTTCTCAATCAAATGAATGTTTGCCATGAAGTTTGGAATTATTATTTTTTGCAGAATCTAACTTTAGAGCACTACACCAATTACAAGGCATCAGAGTTAAAAACTGCGGTTCTTGCATTGGAAGGTTTGCAGCTCAACACCTGTGGTTCCACCCTAAATGCTATACGTGAAAAGTATAGACAACAAAAGGTAACTACTCATGACTAAGTAATCCATAGCAAGGCCACAATGTCATTGCCTCGATACTTTCCTTGAAAGAGGAACAATGCAAGAATTTACACCTTGAAAACCTTGGGTGAAGATTGAGGGAGGGGGGATCAGGGAATCTGCCTTTAGCCTGTCAAACCTGTCTTCCATTTTTCCATTATATAGCACACATTTAGTATTCTTCCTGCAGTACGTCATCCATGAACTTTGGTTGTCAGTTTCATAGTTGAACAAACGATAAGTCAAACTGAGGGGGATTTCCCTTTTTCAAATACAGGTCGTGAGGAAACTAGTTCCCAATCATGAGTACCCTTTAGACTGCGATATTATAGACCGCATTCTTTTGCTGAACTATCGGAGACCATGCTTAATATATCATTATATGTTTTCCATTGACACTTGTTCAACTGATCTCCTTGGTATGGCAGTTCAAACACGTGGCGACTTTAACTCCCTCCGAACCTGCGCTTTCACTCTTCCAAAGATTTAACTACGACTGATCTTCCTGAAGGGCTAACTTGAGAATAATCAGATGGAGTGACTTCCCACATTGCGGCACTTCAAGGGTGAATTTGAGCTCCACTAATCGGATGTCTACTCACATTTTTTTGTCAAACTGCGTTTTTGTTGTCCATATTCATGTTCTCGTTGTTGTAGCATTTATTTATGGTCTGGTGCTTCCAGACCAGTCCATTCATGACAAGGAACTCTCGGATCATGACCCATGCGAGGCGGCAAACCATACGCCTCTCGGCAAAATAAGCCTGGGAATTTTCCTTGGTCTCTAGGAGCTCTTACAGTAACCCTATTTCTTTTGCTTGCTCGAGTGTCAAGCTTTTAGATGTACCGTTTAGTAAAACAGTACTTCTCCAAAAGAAGATTTGGAGATCATTCTCTTTGTACTCCAATGAATTTAACAGAATCATACTGGAATTTGTCTGTTACTTCTTCAGTATCTTATCCTTTGCATCGTCGGAACCGTCCTGTCCATTTCATGAATCGACCCACAATCCTGGAAGCTCATCTTGATCAAATCCTTGAAGAGCACATTTGCTATGCTTAAATGGTCTGCAGCTGTAGCTCAACTGTGGCATTCAGTGAATACTGGTTACAAACTCCACCATTTGCTTTTCAATAGACGGTGCTACATTTTCTTTTGGGATAAATGCACTAGAAGTCCTAAAACTTGTCGTAAAAGTATAATTGAGTCTTAAAACTTTCAAAAAGTGCAAACAAGTCCTAAAACTTGTCATGAAAGTGCACTTGAGTCCTAAAACTTTCAAAAAGTGCAAATAAGTCCTAAAACTTGTCACGAAAGTGCAAATAAGTCCTAAAACTTTTAAAAAGTACAATCAATGAAAGGACTTGATTGAACCAATTTGACAAGTTTTAGAACTTGTTTGCACTTTCGTGACAAGTTTTAGGACTTGTTTGCACTTTTTTAAAGTTTTAGGACTCAAGTGCACTTTCGTGACAAATTTTATGACTTGTTTGCACTTTTTGAAAGTTTTAGGACTCAATTGCACTTTCGTGACAAGTTTTATGACTTTAAATGCACTTATCCCTTTTCTTTTTGTGTTAGTAAATTTAGTAGGGGTGTCAATGGGTAAAGTCAGGTTGGATTTCCATACTGCTTTTGCAGTATTCTGAATGTAACTTTCTAAATTCTCAAAACACTAAAAAGCATTTAATTTCCGTTAAACCTTAGTAGATATTAGATTTTCTAACCATCGCATGATGCCAACCATCAACATATACAATGAGAATCCATAGCTATGGATGGATAGAATTGTAGAAAAAACTAAATTGTACCGTCACAACAAACGAATCCTCTTTAGTAAATCATAAAACGTGATTGATTCACGAAATCTCCCCTTAAAAAATCGAAATTCAATTACCAAACAACACCCAAAAAAAAAATGTATCTAGTCTTGGCCTCAACAATTATTTTTCTTTCTGTTTATTAAATAAGTTCACAAAATGAATTTCTCAAACCAGAAAACAAAAACCCCCCCAAAAAAAAAAAGAGAAAAAGATATCGCAGTGGTCGTGGACAAACGAACACTCAACCTCTCACTCGTCTGAGCCTTACTTATTCTGCGGCTGCGCCGCCCCCCCACAGACGATTAAAACCCGCGCGCCGCCGCTCGCCGCCGCTCCCAACAACCACCGTCTAGGGTTTCTCTCTTCCGCTTCCAGCTCGTGTCCATGGCGACTCCGTTGCAGTCTCGCGCCCTGAACCCTTCCTTCGCCAACCTCAAGTCCTTCCACAAGCCTCGCCGCCACTTCCTTCACCGTCCCCACGACCTCAAGCTCGCGCCACCGTCGCCCGGCGGGAGCAGCTCCAAGCTCTCGGCGAGCACCGGCCTCGCCTCCCTGGCGGCTAGGAAAGCCGCCGCGGCTCCGGCTCCGCGCGCCGCCGCGGATGCCGCCGGCGAGCCCGCCACGTCCTTCCACGGCCTCTGCTACGTCGTCGGGGACAACATCGACACCGACCAGATCATCCCCGCCGAGTACCTCACCTTGGTCCCTTCGAACCCCGCCGAGTACGAGAAGCTCGGGTCCTACGCGCTGATCGGCCTCCCTTCGACCTACGAGACTCGGTTCATCGACCCCGACGAGACGAAGACCAAGTACAAGATCGTCATCGGGGGAGCGAACTTCGGGTGCGGATCCTCGCGCGAGCACGCGCCCGTGGCGCTCGGAGCGGCGGGAGTCGTGGCGGTGGTGGCGGAGTCGTACGCCCGGATATTCTTCAGGAACTCGGTGTCGACCGGGGAGGTCTATCCGCTGGAGACGGATGTGAGGATTTGTGAGGAGTGCAGGACGGGCGATACCGTGACGATCGAGCTGGCGGAGAGCAAGCTGATTAACCACACCACCGGGAAGGAGTACGAGCTGAAGCCGATCGGCGATGCAGGGCCGGTGATCGAGGCCGGCGGGATCTTCGCGTACGCGAGGAAGACGGGGATGATCCCGTCCCAAGCGGCTTGAGTAAGGCTCCTATATTCGAATTGCTCGCATTTTCCGGAGCTTGTCGAGATTGAATGTGAACTACTTGTGTCATGAATTTACAGACGTAGGGTCTCTAGAATGGTGTAATCTGATCCACTGGAGTATAATCGAACCCGGAGAGTTAAATTGCGAATGTCTTGACTCTCAAGAAATCTTAATATACCCGAACATAATGATCGAAGACGAACGACGCCATAATTGCAAGTGAAATTAAATGGTTTCATGGGAGATGGAGACAAGTACTCATCGGAACACGGATTTATAGGTTTATACTTGTGAATGTTGCTGGATACAGGTTCTCTTCAGTCTTCAAGCAAGTTACTAATTAGTGAAGAAGAACCAAGTTGTTTGCTTGTCTGTACTGAAGTATGGTTTATACTGCCGAAAAAATTGACATCAACTATGAATTAGGATGAAAACATCATTGTTTATGTGGTAACAACGTTATAACTGATGAATAAGCTCTATATTTTTCATCGAATTACATCAGTTAATTCAGTGGCGAGGGACTGGATTTAGGCGCAATTAGTGGATGAATGCTTGTCTCTGATTTTTATCTTCTGGGATCGAATGTGATTGTGCGGTTCGATTCAAGAGTCTCTAGTTATAGATGACATTAAGCATGCGTGATTTCGTCAAATATGGAGGACCTAATATACACTTTTGGGATCTCCAAATGATTGGTTGAACAACAGAAGACACTTACCCGTGCACCTAGTTGGTGATAAGTTTTATATGACGTGATCTGTTTAGTAGCTGCTTCTGCTGAGTTTGTTCTGTTCAAGGGGCATGTCCACTTGTTACTACTCGAAGCCTTTAGCGTTATGGCTAGTAGCTGGGATGAGCGATGTATCTACCCTGATAGGTTCTTCTGCTCTTTTGCAGGCACTTGCATTGAGGACTTGTCTTGTTGCACTTAATCTACCTAGTTAGCTGTTTTGGCTGGGTTGTTTTCTGTCATCATGGCTTGTATGTTTGTCGGAATAAGAAGATGATATTTGCCGTTTTCCCAGTTTGAGTTGCAGGACCTTCTTCATCTTCCCCTCCTATTTCTGTTTATGGTCATCTTTCTTGCTGGTCTTACTCTATCAGTCCAAATCGTCTGATATGGGCTATCAGCCGGAACTAGATCTTTAGTTGAGGATATGGAGACCAATGTTTCCTCTTCCAGGGTTATCGCCGTGTTTAAGTCTCTTGATTTTCCAAGCTGTTTGTTAGCTCGCAATGTAATTGTTTGGAAGTCGAGAAATATATTAACTTTGAGGGGTCAACCCTTTCGTGAACCGAATGTACCGGTGGTGACCGAGAACGAACATTGAAATTTATGACACGCCGGTCTCTCTACTCTGGTCTCTTTCTCGCATGTCCATGCGTTCAATTTCGGGGCACATCCATCCTATACTGTACAGATGCAGAGGCAGGAGCTGTGTTTATTCATATGGAGGAGCAATTCTTAGGTACTCATGGAGGGGAGAGGCCATTATGCCATGTGAACATCATGCCCCTGACATGTTTTGGCCGTCGGAACATTAACATTTAATTTCGATTGCCGATCGGGGATCCAATCCTAATGAAAATCTAAAAGCATGACGTCGGGTAGGTATAGTAATCTAACACCTTTTTGGAATAAGCGTATCGGGATCAACACGAACTTCAAAATGGATGGTTTAGATTACATTTGGAATATCTAAAAACCATTTTTGATATAGATAGAGAGTACAGGATTAGAGACGGGTATGGGCAGGCTTAGTTAATTAATTATCCTACTCTAAAGGGCCTAGTTCTGTCCAACCGAATCCATGCATTGGGCTGGGCCGGACTCAAAAGTTTTGACGACCAAATGGGTAGGCTTGGATCAGCGGCTGCCGTTTAAAGGGCCCGGCCCGGCCCAAGTAGCCCATTTTGCCCGAAGGTATCGTCGTGAATAACCCGATAAGTGACCCTCTCGGCCGACCCGATGAGTAACCTAGGGCATGGTTTTTAGGGCCCAACTACAGTCCCAGCCCGCCATGACGTTGGGCTGGACGTTTCATGTAGCCCGCAGCTGAGTAGGTCCGTAGACCTGATAATGGGCCTCGAGGTCCACGCCCGCCTAGGTCGGCCTGAGCCATATGGGCCTTGAAGGGCACTCCTTGGCAGGCGTGGACGAGGTTATCCAGTTATAAAGCACAGCCCATTTATGCATGAAATGTTCCCTATGAGCAGCCCCGGGCATCCAATTAGGCCCAGCCCAAGGGCCCTTCTCGAGCCCGAGGAATGACAACCGACGGGCCGACATGATTCGATTTTCGGGTGATTGCCGGGTAACTTGTTATGGTGGCGAAAGCGACCGCTTGATCATACAGTAATTGGTAATTGATTCCTCGCATGATTACTTGGTTTATCCCTTTCTCTGGTCCATGAAATAGTTCACGTCATTCCACACGCACGAATTCTCTAAGGTGACTACTTGATGAGCAATACCACAATGACGCGGTGCTGTTGAACCGAGCGACAAATTCCGAACAAGTTGGATTCGGCCACACAAGTAAGAAATCATGTGAAAAATCCCGCACAACTTCCCTAATTTGAGTGCGAAAATGCTCGACGGTGGATCAATTCGACCTATCCCTTTCTTTTGATTAAAACGTGATAATGAATGACGAAGCTATGTAACGCGTCGCCAGCATTCTGTTACTGTACATTACAAGGCAAAAAAGAACATGGAGGCTCAATGATTTCTGAGCGAAAGAATGACTAAACATATTTACAGCACCTAAATATCACAATCCCCAAGCCAAGGGGGCAGAACCATAACTGTAAAGGGCGTATCACTGGCTCTCAAGGAAGGCGCTATGGAAGTCGGCAGACGGGTGACGGTCTAATCCTGGGAGGTAGCGGAATATTCGAAGAGCAAGCGTTTGGAAGGAGCGGATTGTAGAAGCACCCGCAGGCGGCTCGTGAGCTGGTAAATTAAGGTCCACTGCATCGCCATCTCTGAATCCTTCATCTGCCTCACAACAGAGGCCTAGAGAAAATAAAACCAGGATGTTGGTATGAATTGAGGTGTCAAACATATTAATGTGATTAATATTGAAGAAAAGATGGTCTCAGCAATCAACAAGAGACCTAATTCTCCCTCATAAAATCTGTAGAACCAGTGTCCACAAGCCTCCCATCTCTATCCTAATTGTTTTAGTAAAAAACAATGCAAGCAATAGAAAAGTTTAAACTACAATATTCTTCTGGCACATTTGCGAAACATGACGATTGTTTTTTGCAATTTCATCAAATTTTTTCCTCAAGACACTCGGCTATTTCATCAATACTGGGAATTTTGGGACCACTAGCATACATTGGCAGGAATGGATGAGAACATTGCACAAGAGATACTTCGATTTTTGCTGGCTTTGGCCACAGAGTATGACCCAATGTCGAAACATAGAATCAAGAAATAACTGAAACATGAGCAAGGGTAAAGAGTTGCAAACCTGAAGGTGTCTACCAAGCTGCACTTCAACTTCTGTACCGAATGAAATATTACTGGCAAGAGATTTGAGAGGATCAACTGTAGGATCAACAGAGAGCAGACTTGGAATCTGTGGTGCATAGACCACTCTCCACCTAGCCTGGCCAAACTCTCCCTTTCCCTCTATTCTCGGCATTAGTGTTTCGAGAGTCGCAGTTGCAAGCTTTTTAAATGCGAGCTGACCGTCACCTTCCAAGATAGACTCTGCCAATTGACTCTCGAAGACTCTAGCGGCCTGCACAAACAAAATGCAATCAAGAAACCAACTCTCAAGTCACCACACATGCTATCACAAACAAGGAAACAATTAAAGGATTTGATCCCGTCAATTCTGATATAAGCAAATGGATTGTGTGGTGGATGGCAACGATGGAAACAAAGCAAACTTGTTTAGTGCACAATATCCAAAAAACAGAATAAAACATTAAAGTGGCCAATAGCACTTCTTAAAAGTTGAGGCAATTTTTGTATGGCGCAGAATCTCTTGCCTTGACTGGCTTACCAGTCATTGAAAAGAGTACTAGCAAGGAGAGCTGTAAATGATATTAATAAGTACCTCAGTAGGTGAGAGGCCATCCTGCTCCACAGAGCGGGTGGAGGTTACAACCAAATTATCCTGCCAATTACTTGCTCGACTTTGGATCCTAAATTGCCACTCTGATCCAACCAAAGCCAAGTCTAGCATTGGATCTAGTCCATGCTCAGGCTCAAACTTGGCTATGTTTAAATGCTCTTTCTTCAGCCTCACCTGGATGGAGATTCCAACAAAAATCAGGCAGGAGGATATAGATGATAAAGCAGAGCAAATGCAGCACCAAAATAGGAAAAAGGTGAATACAAATGGTGCACCTGAGTTGCAACAAGATTCACATCACCGTTTTCGAATGCCAGGATGCCTTTGGGTTTTATCCGCTTGGGATGAGCAAGGCCATTTAGCTCGAGCTCTCCGCTGACAGCAAAATTGAGAATCAAAGGATACACAATTCTCAGCTCTGGCCCCAGCTCGAGCTTCAAATCACTGAGGCGTATATCTACTTTTGGTGCAATGTTTACTTGATCCATTTCCTTTTTAACTTCAGCTGATTTGACTGCAAAGGGAGCATTGCAAGGATATTAACTCCTGCAATAAGATTATGCATACTTCTTTCCTTCTACTTAGAAATTTATACTTCGCTAACTAGTCATATTGAGAAATATTTTATTATGTTGAACAGAAGTGGAAATCAATATAGCTGTCACGTCATATATTCAGGAGATCCTCCTTAATTTCCAGCTATTTCCTTAATTACCTCATCTCTCAATATTTACGAAGACATTGTCCTTTTGATGATTTTGCACCTCTCCTTTTTATCTTTTGTTTTGGGATTAATACTCTTAGGACTAAGCCTTAATATTTGTCTGTTTTTGCTGATGAAACATGGAAATCCTTGGAAGGAACACACTAGATCCCACTCAAAACAGAAATATATTTACTGGAGTAGAAAACTTTATCTTAATAACCAAGTAAATTTCAGAAGAAGCACAATTCAACAAATTAAGCTTGCTTCACAAGCACAAATGACCATATATCAAACAAAAGACAACGTATTACCTAAACGTGGACCAAATCCAATTCGCGAAGCAGCAGGCTCTCCATTAAAAAACCGGGAAACGTATCTTGAAGCAAATGCACGATTCACACCACCAACAGAGAGCCGGGACCGCTGTGAGGCCAATCTATCGAAAGGTGCTGCTCCACTGCCCTTATCGTGAGGTAAGTATGCTTCTCCGTGACTCAATTTAATATTCCCAGATATGTTTGGTTGCAAAATGGAACCAGTTATTTGCATCTGTGTGTCAACCTGACCACTGATCACGTATGTGCAAGCATCAGAAATACAGAGAAATCATAAGCTCAAAAGGCCACAAATGGACAATCAGAAAAAAAGAAGAAGAAATTCCCCATTATCTTCCAGGGTAGAGACCACAATGTAATAAACAAGAACAAAATCAACAACCACAAACACACCAAACATCAGCTATCATAATACATTGGCAGCTGAAGAAAAAATAAAAACCAAAGCATAGTAAAAAGTGACCGCAATAACAGAAATATGCGCTTTACTGTTCCTGAAATTGAATTGATCACCTTAAAATATTCTTAGCTCGTACTTCTAATATTTCACACTTCAAGTCGATTTGATCACCAAGAGATGCTTCACTTGTCTTGAAAGGCAAATTTCCCTTTATGAACAATTTACCTCTCCTGCTTACTTTGCTCTCTAACAAACCAATACATAGCCTATTTGATTTCACATGAAGCGTGCCACCAAGATTTGTGAGTGGTTTACGGAGCACGGGTGAAGATACAGAAGCCCGATGAAAAGATGCAGATCCATCAAGCAGAGGTTGTTCAACTGTACCTCTGACCTGTTCATCAGCAAGCGGTAAGCTACAGGGCAAACCAATCACACTGAACGGAAGTTTGCATTAACAAATTATAAACAATTTTATCATGTCAGAGGAACACACTAACAAATCCCTATTGACTCACCTGAAGCACTATATCTGCATTGCCATGAAGCCAATTGGCATATGGAGATAGAGCCGTCAACAACATCATGCCCCCATCTTTTATGTCAGCATCAATCCTTACTTCCCCAACATCTAGGATATTCCAGTTCAAACCTCTGAGGCCTTCAGCTAATTGGGTATCCCACCCATCTTCACTTCTACCTCTAGAGGCTTTCTTTTCACCAGTATCATCCAGAGACGCTCGACCACTTTCCTTCGCCC